CAGTATCATATAGTTGCATTGAGTTAAAGTACAAATTTTTCTGTATACGGTCGGTTTAAGCTATTACGCTTTTGGTTGGTCTGAAAGCAAATTCACAGGCATCATTTACGAGGTCTGTTCGCAACAATATTACATGCCTTATTGTTAGTGATAAAAAAAAACAGTAACTCTTCATTTTTTTTCTTATGCTTTTATGGCAAAATTGGTCCGAATTCACATTGAAAGCGAAGCAATGAAGATTTGGAAAGTTTGCTGGCATCTTTTGCGAAAAGCGGCCCTTCTAGGAAAGCCTTTGTAGTCGAAGTAGCCTTTCCACATGATAAATATATCATTAGGTAGATGTTTTTACATAACTTTGCCTTTATTTCTCGCCCCAAAAAACGTCATAACGCGGCATCCAGGGCCGCTTAGCAGATAATAAAAGCAGATTTGTCAACAGCATTCAGTGTCCTTCGAGGCTATATAAATTTTATTTGGTAAGGCCACTTCACTGAAAGGCTTCCCTGTACCTCATCATTGTGTGTGCCTTTCTAGCTTATGCTTTGTGTTGCAGGCCCTCCGACTTGCTTCCTCTGGATCAGCCTACCAACCTCTCCCAATCGACCCAACATGGAGCGAAATGGCAAAGAAAGCCATGAAGGGCAAAGACCCGAACTCGCTGATCTGGCACACCCCTGAGGGTATTCCCATCAAGCCACTGTACCTGAAGGAGGATAGAAAATGCGATCAGGGCAAGCCAGATGAGGCTAGTTTCCACCTCTTCCAACTCTAACTCAAATCTACGTTTCTGACAAGAACATTTCTTTTAGCTCCCCGGAAAATTCCCATTCACTCGTGGACCATATCCGACTATGTACACACAGCGACCGTGGACGATTCGACAATATGCCGGTTTCTCGACTGTAGAGGAATCTAACGCATTCTACAAAGAAAACATCAAAGCCGGTCAACAGGGACTTTCTGTTGCTTTCGATTTGGCAACTCATAGAGGGTAAGTCATATCTGAATCTAAGAAATTGCGTAAGTGCAAAGTTTTAGCTATGATTCCGACAATCCGCGTGTGTACGGTGATGTCGGTATGGCTGGTGTAGCTGTAGATTCCGTAGAAGACATGAAACAGGTAAAATTTTTTTGTGAAAGATACCAACAATCCAGTAAGATACATACGTAGAAATAAATTCGAAGGCCATAGCAAGCCACTATGTAAGTGGCAGCTCATATGACTCATTCAAGATTGAGAAATGTAACTTCAAAGTTGCGCCCATACCGTACTACCTACCGCATCGGATGCGGTCTGGTCCTGAGTTTCGGGTTACATATTTCGGCCACAAATGAATCGTCTGAGCTGCAGTTTGGGCTATGGCCTACTTAAGCCCTTTCGATCAGATGACACATAAGAAACCTAATTTCGATTTTTGATGTTAAAGTTTACTCATGCTTTCCAGCTTTTCGATGGCATTGACCTTTCAAAAATGAGTGTTTCGATGACTATGAATGGAGCTGTTATCCCCGTTATGGCCATGTACATCGTCGCTGCTGAGGAAGCCGTAAGCTTTTTGACATTTTTTCAGAATTCTCGTTTCTAAAATACCATTTGATAGGGAGTTGATCGCAAACAGCTGGCTGGAACCATTCAAAATGACATTCTGAAAGAGTTCATGGTCCGAAACACCTATATCTATCCACCAGAGCCATCGATGCGTATTATTGGTAAGTATCGTAAATTCTGGAAAACTGAAAAATTTCGAAGAAAGCATGAGGTTGTGTTAGGTGACATTTTCTCCTATGCCAGCAAAGAAATGCCAAAATGGAACAGCATCTCGATTTCTGGATACCACATGCAGGTGCGCAGATTTGATAATTTTGGTTTTTCTCAAAAATCCTGTTCTGACCGAAATCCTTAAAAATTCAGGAGGCTGGAGCTGATGCAGTTCTGGAAATGGCTTTCACCATTGCTGACGGTATTCAATATTGCCAGACCGGTATCGATGCAGGATTGAGCATTGACCAATTCGCACCTCGACTCAGCTTCTTCTGGGGTATCAGCATGAACTTCTACATGGTAAGTGGTTTACCGTTTGGTGAATAACTTCTAAACCCAATACTAGCATATCGAAAAAGAGAGGGGGTAGTGACAAGAAGGAGAACTGAAAAACCGTCCAGATCACGGGGGAATTGACCTTCTACCGTATACCTACCGTAATCCCATCGTAATTTTCAGGAGATCGCAAAGATGAGAGCTGCTCGTCGTCTGTGGGCTGAACTTCTAAAGGAACGCTTCAATCCAAAGAACCCTAAATCATTTATGCTCCGTACTCACTCACAGACTAGTGGATGGTCCCTAACAGAACAGGTAAATATTATTCAAAGCACTGGAGGCAATTTTGGGTATCTGAAATAGGAGCAGTCTAATGCACAAGTGTTTCGAAACATTTAAGTCCGAAATCTAGCCAAGGCAGCAATTTTTCTGAGCTAACCAATCAGCGTCCTCGGGTACGGTAGCAAATACGGTCTGGGTTGGAGTTGGAAGTAATTTTCTCGACCACCGATGAGTAATATGAGCTGCTGATTAGGCATTGAACTCAAATAAGGGCGTCCGATCTTCTTTTATTTAATGTCTGGAATACTCCCTTCAATTTTTCCTGATTTTCAGGATCCTTACAACAACATCATTCGAACCACAATCGAAGCCATGGCCTCCGTATTTGGTGGAACCCAATCGCTTCATACCAACTCGTTCGATGAAGCTCTTGGTCTGCCAACGAAATTCTCTGCCCGTATTGCTAGAAACACCCAGATTATCATTCAGGAAGAGAGCGGTATCTGCAGAGTAAGTAGTCTCACCCCCTTTAATAACAGGCCAGCAAAAGGTTGAAGATTACAGGTTGCTGACCCATGGGGTGGTTCGTACATGATGGAATCGTTGACGGACGAGATCTACGAGAAGGCGAGAAAGGTATGCTAGGTTTTTCCTGTTTCATGGGTGAAAGATGAGTTTAAAATGGTCCCGAGGTAAAAATAATGGCTGAAAGATGGTATTCTGAAAATACCGGGGTTTACTATAGTTTTCTAGTTCACTCTCGTTCAAAGCAAAAAAATAACCACCAAAAATATTGATTAATCGATCGAACATGCGTTAACTTGAAGTCACATAGTGGGAGGTAAAACTTGGATTGCCACTACTTTAGGGAAACATACACGTGGTTGTACATGAAATATGCAAAGATTTTGCATTTTTGCATTATATCAAGAAATACCTGTACAAATTTCACCTTAAAATTGAAAACTTGCATTTTTTTAATACTCAGCGTAGTTTAGCTCTACCCACAGTCAAGCTTCACAGTGAGAACGGCATTATCTATATCATACACCTACCGTAACCGCACAAAAAGACTTTGTCAGCAGAACTAAAGCTATCTTCGTGATTAGTATATCAAGTGCAAAGCCTTGCCGGAATCTAGATTTTGACTTTATACCGTACATCTAGTAGCCCTATAAAAGAGGCCACTCAATGGGTGCGAACTTACAGCCAGAATGGAGATTTATGACTTTGTACTACTTGCGTATTTCCCTGTTGAAAGAGTATTATAGTTTTCTTTACCGTAAACCTACCGTAATTTTACAAACGGCAACGACTTTTATAGAGTTGAGCGAAAACCGGAAATTTACATGGCTGTATTGCACAATTGTGGGCACGTCTCGAATAAGTAAATGAACCTTTTGAGAAGCTAGCGAGGTCTGGATCTTGAGCCCATACCGTATATCTACCCGTCCGTATACAAAAGCCATCAGGATTTGGGAATTCACATTTTTGACTGTGCGAGTTGCGTAAAGTATTGCATCAGTAGATTTCTCTATGAGAAGAGGTCTTTACAGGTTTTGGTTATATACCGTATAGCTATCGTAACCCCGAAAAGACCTATCAGTACATCTCATCAGCATTATAACAGATAGAATTTTTTGCCTTATGATGTTGTGATGGGGTGATCCGCTTTTTTCTTTTTTTT